GAGTGTCACTGGAGCAAACCACAAGAGAATATGCTGGATCCACTACAAACTCCTGGTCTCCTCCTTCAGTTGGACCTCGAACATCTTTCAAAAGTCTTTTTTCTTGACCTATGTTGGCCTCTTACGCCTTACCACTGAACCACTGTTTCAAATCTTTACTTGTGCCCTCTAATTCCCTATCCAAACTTTAGTCTTTACCCTTGGCCAGAGATGTGTCCTATCAAGAGAACTAAAGTCGTCAGGTGTGAATTAGATCAACTTTCTGAAATCATGTCAGCTTACTAAGCCCTGCACCCTCCTTTGCTCCCTCTCTGTAGGCCCCCTGGGGGAGCCATGCCACTTCCTGTCCAAAGGCTACATCACCTATACTCTAAATTCCACTCCTTCCTGCCTCCAATAGAAGATCCTGTAATGATTCCCTTTCACTCTTATATTTTCAACCCTTCTCCCATTTTGCTCTTTCTTTTCTGCTTCTAAATATGCACAAGTGCCTCTTATCCTAAAAGGTATCTTTTGCCCCACTCTAGCTATAGTCCCATCTTTCCCATTTCCTTTTCAGCCAAGTTTCTGGAAAGAATATTCTATATTCTATACTTATTATTCTCTCTATACTTATTCATCTCCTTTTCACTCCTGCTCTTCGCACTTCACCGAATCACACAAAGCGTAGACATAGGTCCTACCTCAATTCCCTGAAACTCAGCTACCAGTAGACTCAACTGTTCCATGAAAGTTTAACAAAGGCTCGGCTCTAATGTATATGGGGATTATAATGCAGGAAAGACACACCTTATCTGAGTGACCTGGAGTAAGTTACTTAATCTCTCTATGCCTTGGTTTTTTTCATCTGAAAAATGGGCATGATCAGAGTACTTTCCCCTTAGAGTTGTGAGGGTTGCATGGGCTTGCTTTGTGAAGTGGTCAGAACAGCACTTGAGGAGGGTTAGCCTTTATTACCCCCTCTGTCCATGCTGGGTGTGGAATAGGTTAGTACAACTGGTAGAAAAGGAAAACAAGTCAAAATCAGGTCTCACCACCAAAATCCATGAGTCATGCCTCCCTCCAGGAATCTCTTACTGGCTGTCTTTCTCTAAAGAGGAACCTCTAACGAGAGTCCCTTGTCCCTGTCCTATCTGAGTCTCTGCCCCGAGCGGGAAGGACACCCAACATCTTCTTAATCTCCGCAGATCTCTTGCTCTGCCCACATGTCAGCACTCACTGGCTGAAATACCTGCATTTAGATGGGTTCCCTGGTTCAGCTTTCCCAAGGACAGGGCAGACTCTTTCCTAACACCCTTGTGACTAAGGGAGGGAAGATAATTCACCTCCACCCTCAAACGCAGGATCACTTGCAACCCCCAGTCCCAAATGATAGTGGGTAGGTACACCATGCCTGTACCCACTCTCCAGAGTAGTAAGCAGATGGTTCTGAATGTACAAGTGAGGAGGTGCAGAGCGGGTAAGAATTTCCAAAACCACAGAGCTAGGACAGGTGATGGAGAATTCATATTGTCTCTCTCACCAGAGGTCTTTCCATTCCCTGATACACAGCATTGCTTCACTTCTCGTAAGTCAGATTGGAGTCGTTTACAAGCCAACTTAAACAACTGTGGCTCTCAGGATGTGAAAGTTAGTGACAAAGGTTGAATAAGAGGGACATTCCTTTAAGGATTTTTCTTGCAGATTTGGCCAACTTCTTAACTAGTATTTGCAATTGTTATTGTTGTGTCTCCTTCAGGTGGGAGAATGCATGTTCCCTTTCCTCTGTGCACATAAATGTTCCTTAATAAATCAGACTTGTTGACAGTCTGGGAGAAAGCTTTTCATCGTCCTGCCCAGGTTTGCTGAGGATAACGTCACCCAGCCAGCTCACACAGAGCGTGCGGAAGTGGGAGGAACAGGCATATTTACAGGTATAAATGCCATCCTTAGGCTGACGTTACCCAAATCTTCATATTCAGCTAAGACTTCCGCTCTGAATTCTGGAATCCTCTATCTAACTGGCCATTTGGCATCTCCACTGGGATATTTCACACTGTCTCAGAGTTAAGGTGTCCCAGTGGGACTTCTAATTTTATTCTCCCACCTCCAGAAACACGATCCTCCCCATTGTTTCTGATTTCAGCAGAGGGCACCACCATGGCCCAAGGAGACAGTGAAGGGTTTTTATCAGAGAATGGCATGACTAGCTTTATTTATTTATAAGAACATCATCCTAGCAACAATGTGGGGTCAGAATTTTACAGCTGAGAGGAGAGAATTGAGTTGGTGTCTATTAAGAAGGCTAAGCTGTAAGGCTTCGTGACTGAGTTACTTTCTTTATGTTAACGGGAAATATGATATGTAAGAGTAAGATAATGAAATGTGTTTCTAGAAATTGCTATTAGGTTTATCCATGTGAACTGATCATTTATAAGCAACAAACGTTGAGTAGCAGCAATTTTGTATGATTCACTTACTATGTTATAGCACAGCAGCCCGGCATCTCTATCAAAAATATAAGATACCTGGGGCACCTGGCTGGCTCAGTTGGTAGAGCATGTAACTCTTCCTCTCAGGGTCATGAGTTTGAGCTCCACACTGGGCGTGGAGCCTACTTAAAATAAAAACAAACATAAGCATTTACTATTGGTTTAGGTACAAATGATGGAAAAGTTTCTGGAAAGCAATTGTATCCTAAGTCTTAAAACAGTAAAATTTCACAGTTATTTTACTTGAGAGAATAAATACCAATGAAAACACCAATGGAAAAGAATTCATTCCAGAAGTGTTTGTAACAGGAAAAAAAATGGAATTAGTCCAAATGTCCATTTACAAGAGACTTTAAATAAATAAGCGTCATCTGTTCGGTGAAATAGTACACAACTATTAAAGTGATGAGTAGAATGAAAATTTAATGTCACGAAAAGATCTCCACAATATATTCTTGAGCATCAGGACAAGATATAAAACAGATGGGTCATATGATACCACTTTTATTAAAAAATAGGATTCCATATCTAATTATTATAATATGTAGAGAAAATTACCAGAGAAAGAGGTATTCCTAAATGTTAACGGAGACTACCTCTGAACGGCGGACTTTCAGAAGATTTTTTTTTAATCTAACTTTGAGTATTTTATAAAAATTTGGGGCAACTTTATATTATTTTTATAATAATAAAGCAAAAGCTACATTCAAATGAAAAAACCCTAACGAAAAGGAAAAAGCTTCATAAATATTTAAATACATGTAGGAGCGATCACTTCTTAGGGAAAACCCCAGTGTTCAGATGAACCTCCCTAATCTTTGACATGAGCAGTGATTGATACCGTGCTACATTTTCCATGATGCCAACATTGAAAACAGAGATGAGGTCCTTTCACAGATGACATTCGGTGCCTGTAAATAAAAGGTGTGCAGCAGGTCTGCACCAGTACACGAAGCCTGCAGACGTCGTGAGGTATTGGCAGGTGTTTCTGTGTTCTCATAAATACAAACTGCTCTGAGGGTTGAAAGCCACACTGTCAAGTCTAACACCATTAATAAAAACTCTAAGTTCTGAAGAAAAAGCAGCTCTTTCATCAACTGTTTGTATTTTTCTGATTCCTGATTTCCTGATTCCTATTTTAAGAATGGGACTCCATGAGCCTGGTTTGGGGGCTAAGTAGATCTAGGAGCATGAGATAACCTATTAATATTCTTATGAATATGAAAGCTTATATGTAAGTAAATTTTCTAGTAGCCACATTAAAAAGTAGATGGAATTAATTTTAATAATCTCTTTTATTTAACTCAGTAGCAGAATGTTAGTATTTCAACAGGTAATCAATGTAAGATATTATTGAAATATTTTACATTTTCATTCGTTTGTGTTTTGTTCTGCCATTAGTTTTTAAAAAATATAACCTCATGCTTATACCCATTTCTATTCCCTCCCCTTCTTAGATAAAGGGGACACACTAACATAGTATTCTGCACCTAGCTTTTTAACTTAATACATGCGGAGGTCATGCCATTGAGATCTCAAGAACATTTGAGCATTTGCAACATTTTACAATCACCGGCTGCTGGCACTGACAGGAAAAGAAATTTTGTGCTCTATTCCTCTCTTCTGGCAATATCCATCAGAAGACACTTCCCTCCCTTCCAGAAGGTCACGCCACTTCAAAGGGGGCCAGTGGTTGCTTTTAGCTAATGAAAGGGTATCTCTGCCCCTGATTTATACATCTAAAGGATAAGGAACTGTTACGATCCCAGAAAAGGGTCTCAAGGAGAAAGGTATTTGCCTTTATTTGTACTTAATAGTTTGAAGGGGGATAAGCTATAAAAGCAGTGGAAGCTGGAAGATGGCCCATGAAGTTAATTTTAAAAGTTATTTATTGACTCTTTGATGGGTGGGGCTTTTTCTTTCTCTAGTACCTCCCCAGAAAGTCCTGAGCTTACATTTATAAAAACAAAGCTTCAGACTGATCCCAGCTATGCCCAGCTCTCTGTGAGTAAAGCTAACGCGGCCTTGAGCACAGGGCTGGTACTGGAGTTGGCCGGGAAATTTCCTTCACCCATCGGTGGTTTGACCCCAGCTGCCTTTGGAGACCAGGTGATTCCCGGGGTTTGGGACCAAAAAGACCTCGTTTGCGAATTGACGTAAGCACTCGCTGGCTATAAACCTGAAAACTCCAGAAAGCGCCACCGTCCTTGAGAAAATCTCTCTTCAGACTGACTGACGTGCTGATTGATCCTTTCCCCTCAGGGAGCTCTGGGAAGAGGGAAACTTTTGCTAGAGGACATACTACAGAAGAATCCAAGACTCATCTATGCTGAAGTTTCTCCTGGAATGCACGTATTCAGTAAGTATTCCCGAAACAAAGGGCATGATATAAACTTTCTGGCTTTATCAGTTATCAAAATTTGGCTGCAAATAGGAGTAACCATTTGCACCACCAGATTTCTTAGGCTTCCTCAGTTGGCGGGGTTCTCGGGGCAGTGGGTACTGTGATGGCTCTCTCCAAATGTGCCCCATCTGGCAAGGGACAAACATTGGACGCAAATGTGATAGAAGGTGCAGCACGTTAGCCGTGTACATGCAGGATGTGAACAATTTCAACACAGCAAAGGGAGAACATCTACCTGACGGCGGTGTGCCCTTCTATGAAATTGATCAGACCTCTGATGGGAAGTTCATGGCTGTGGGGGCTTTTGAAGCCCCCATCTTTGAGAAACCTCTGAAAGGACTCTGTCTTCATCCTTTAAAACGTTTCAAGCAGCTGAGTTTATTGCACGGGCTGAGGCTGAAGACGCTCTTGGCAGACATATTCTCTAAGAAGACACAGGCAGAACGGTGCGAGATCTTTCTGCAACCAGATGCGTGTGTGATCCCTGTTCTGATGTTTGATGATATTTCTCAACTCCTGAAGAATAAGGAACGCAACTTTTTTTTTTTAATCACGAATCAACAAGAGGTAATAGTCCCAATGCCAGTTCCATTTTTTTCCAAAACTCCAGCTTCTGTCCCTTCCAGGCAGAGTTCAGTCCTGAAAGAACACTCAGAAGGAATATTCAGAAAATATGGATTTAGCATAGGAAAAAATAGCCCAACCCCACCCTTTGGGAATCCTTCAAAGCAGTAAGCCAACAGCTAATCTACAGCATTTAACGGTAAAAAGTACCTGTTTTGTAAGTAATCCAGTGAGCTTAAGTTGATGTGTGTGATTTGGGGAAATCACGAGTGCTTTCATTTGGGGAGAAGTTCATTCTTGTGTCAAGACAAAATCTTATGCTCTCAGAAAATTTAAAGAACGCTGGCATGTTTTAGTTAATCTTCTGTAATTTTTATGCCAAGTAAAGACTGTAGACTTTACATGTATTGTTATTATTCTAATTGAAAGCCAAACCAGTGCCATATTTGATGGGTATTATGCCTGAAGTAGTTTTAAAATGTTGTGTCATGTCTGGAAATTGATACAAGTTCCTGCATGACCGTACTTTTAAAAAAATCATTTAACTATTTTCTTGGGTTTTTGCTAGTGGGGGAAAAGAGAAAACGTGATTTAAAATGTAATCATTACATACAAGGTACTTCAGGGTAGGGTGATATGGAAGTAATACTAGCTGGTTACACACTTACAAAACGTAAATATACATACGTTAAGACTCAGGATCCAGACAAGCATGTACACTGAAGTGTACCAGGAATTCTGTACTTTAACATATGGTCAAAAAAGAAAACCCCAGGCCCCAAATGGTGTCACTTAGACCGAGTTTCTAAACCGGGGCTTAAAACTCAATCTAATTGCAGTTTCCACCCTCCCCAGAAACGTGGCCTTAACCGGTCAGTCCGGAAAATTTGTCTTTCCATCAGCGTCCACAAGTCTGTCACCTGGGTCCTCTCCATCCCCTGAAGAAAGATGAGGTCGTCTGTGTGATAAGACAGCTTGCTTTCTCCCCTAGCAAACAACGTGGTCTGGAACAATCCTTTTTTTTGCTAATAATTTTCTTGCCTCTACCCTCTGTCTATAAAAACCTTCCATTTTATACAACTTCTCAGAGCTCCCCTCTACTTGCTAGGCGGGATGCTGCCCGATTGATGAATTGCTTAGTAAAGCCAATTGGATCGTCAAAAGCACTTGGTTAAATTTTTGTTATTTAGCACATATAATGAGTGATAATGTATTTTTTTCCTGAAGTGGTCCCATTTCCTTCCCTTCCTTCCTTCCTTCCTTCCTTCCTTCCTTCCTTCCTTCCCTCCCTTGTTTCTTTCTTTCTTCCCCTCATTCTTTCATTCTTTCTCTGTGTCACACAAAATGACTTCATTTCACAAAAATGATCTCTTCTTTTCAAACCAGATTTTCTTGAGGGGAGGGGTTACCTTGTTTTATTCTTTCTATCCCCAGGGAATTATAGCTCTGTTCCCATTCCATCTTCCTGGGCATAGTTCATGCATACAGACTCCTTTTTCCCCCCGAGACTCTAAGGGCCTTCTAATTTTTATGAATTATAGGAACTTCAAAGCTTTAGTAGATTAGCTCATATAAATAAAAGTAATAAAATTCATATGCCAGATAAATCCATTTGTGTCTGGAGGGGCTCAGCCTTACACGCAGGTAAGTAGCCTCAAGGCCACGCCCCAGCATCTGGCAGGTCTGCCTCTTGCCGACTCAGGCTCAGTGTCCCCTGGAGCTCTTTCAGGCATCTGCTGGGAGGTGCATTCCACACAGTCCTAGCCTAGGGGATTGGTCCCTCAGGAAACAAGACAAAACAACTAACCAAATTAAAAAAAAAAAAAAATCCAAACAATAAGTGAAAGTATTTCCTACACATCATAGTCTCTTTTAACATTGATCAAAAACTTCGAACATTATCAATCCCAGTTTCCTCTATTAACAACATTGTTTGCTATATTTTTCTTCTTCTTTCTTTGAGCCAACCATTGTGTGTGTGTGTGTGTGTTTGAGAGAGAGTTTAATGGAGGTTTTTCTGCTACATCTGCTATTCATATCTCACATTTTTCTCAATTTGACATTTCTCTTTTTACTTTATAGAATCTTTTACTGTGCCTACGTTTTACATTTTTATGAAATCAATGCTGAAAGCATAAAAATTAAAAAAGTAAGTTTATGTTGTGGAAGATTGCAAAAATGGCCACAGTTTTTCACTCCTTGTGTCTGTGTGCTTTGCAATGCACCTTCGCTGCGTCTCCCATCATATGGTTGACCTGTTTCCCCACTCATGACCTGCACCGGCCAATGGAATGCAGCAGAAGTGACAAGGTGCACCGTTTGCTCTCTTTCTTAAAACCCTACCTCTGCCATGTGAAAAATCCAGGCCGGCCTACTGGGAGATGAGAGACAGTGGCTTGGTTACCCTCAACCCATGCCAGTATCTGGCCAACCAAGAGGCAGTGTGGGTAAGGCCATGCGAGACAGTCAGTGCCAGGCCACCTGGCAGCTGAACACAGCTTCCTGAGTGAGCCCAACTGACATCAGCCACTCTTGACCCAGATCAACAGAATGGCCCAGATGACCTGAAGACATGTGAGCAATAGTAAATGATTGTAGCTTTATTTTTATTTTTTTTAAAGAATATATTTATTTGAGAGAGAGCAAGCGCACACAAGCAGGGGGAGTGGCAGGCAGAGGGAGAGGAAGAAGCAGACTCCCCACTGAGTAGGGACCCCGAAGCCGGACTCGATCCCAGGACTCTGGAATCATGATCTGAGCGAAAGGCAGATGCTTACCCGACTGAGCCACCCAAATGCCCCAGTGATTGTAGCTTTAAAGCACTAAGTTTGGGGCTCTTGCTATAAGGCAATAAATACTTGATTCACTTATATTTTCTTGGAACATCTTTTTGTTCTTAACTCTTTAATCCATAGAAAGTTTACTTTTGTGCATTGGATGAGGTAGGTAAGGGGTTTTTATTTATTTTACTAAATTGTATGGCCGATTTTCTCAGCACTATTTATTGAAGTTTCTTTCATCACTGATTTGAAATGTCATGGTTTTCATTAACTAAATTCCCATATGCACAAGAACTTGCTTCTGGACTCTCTAATATGTTCTGATGATTTATTTTCTTCTATCTGTGCCAATAACACAGTGTTCAATTTCTTAATTTTAGAGTATGACTTGATATCTGGAATCTTCCTGTAAAATAATGTAGGAACCCAATTATTAGAAGTGAAGGGAGGGGATAGTGTCTTAAATACTTTTGTATTCCCCCTAGAATCCACCTAGCTTCTGTGTGATTGCAAAATATTTTTGGGAAGAAGAATCATTTGTTCTTCTTTATTATAAATCTGTGGCATTTAATATACCAGAAATAAATTTGGGAGCCTGCGGTTTACAAAGATGATATTTATGGTCATTATCCCTTTTTATCCTCACAACTCTATAAGGTATAAGGTTAGCAATATGAGATAGGCTATATCATCGTGAGGGTGGAGGGAGAAGCGGAGGAGAAGGAAGAGAAGAAGCAGGGAAGGAGGAGAAAAAAGCTAACACCTACCGAGTGTTTGCTCTGTGTTACTGTCTATCCTGAACACTGTACATTCCTTGCCTTATTTACTGCTTACAACAGCTTTGTGAGGTTAGTACTATTTGTATATCCCGTTTTCGGAAGAGAAGGTAAGATTCAGAGAAGTTAAGTAACTAGTTCAAAGCCACACAGCAAATGAGTCAAAATTCTAAATGAATGTGAAAACGGGGCGGGGGTGGGGAGCACAGACTGAAAGAAAATACGCCTAACGTTTAGCCGCTGTCTTCCCTGGCTGCTGGGATCACGACAATTTCTATTTTCTTTTTATCACTTTTTCTGTTGACCAACTTTCCTGCAAGGAGCACACATTATTTTAGTAAACATAAAATGGAAACATAATAATAATAATAATAATAATAATAATAGTGCACAAATAGCCCCCAGAAGATGGCACGCTGTAGCCACCTGGAAGGTAGTGTGAATTCTGCAGTAACACGGTGGAGAGTGTTAAGCGACTCATTTCAAGCTGGCTTCCTAGATCATCTGTCTTTAATTATTTTTAGAGATGTAAATGTTCGACAATAAAACTGGCTGTTGTTACTAAAAATAAATAAATAAATAAATAAATAAATAAATAAATAAATAAATAAAAGAAAGGGGAGTGGCTCCTTTGGTTAAGCATTACCCAGCCTGCCCCGCGCCTGGGGGGTGTCTCCTCTGCACTTGTCAACGGAACATCGCGCTCCCGCCCAGGAGCCTGGGATGAATCTAGTCCTTTATAAAGAGTGGAACCAGAGCAATGAAAGAATTTTATACAAAAAGGCATTAATAATAAATAGCCGACAAAGAAGTTTAGACGGTACAGGAAAAAATCATTTTGGCTCCTTATTCCTTATTCCTGTTTCTGCTCCTCAGGCCACCTGTTGCCTAAGCGTGAACAAGTGGTGGGTGTGCGCACTATCTGGCTAGATTTGTGATACGGTAGTGGTAAAAAAAAAAAAAAAAAAGTAGGGGTTGGTTTATGAATATCGGGACAGAGGTGACAACCTTTTACTACAGCCCAGTAGTAAAACAGAAAATAGGTAAAAATAAATAAATAAATAAATAAATAAATAAATAAATAAAATAATAATAATAATGACTAAACCAGGAAGAAAAAAAAGAAGGAAGAAAGAACAACAACAACAAAAAGGTGAAATAAATAAAAATCATTAAGATGGAAGGGATAACATTGAGTTTCCCAGTAGGTCCATTAGGTATGAATGGGCTGAATTCTAGTGAAAGACAAAGACAGGCATTTTTTTAATTTAAAAAGACGACACATAAAGGAAAAAGAGAAAATAAAGGAACGATCACATATATGTGGCAAATATACAACCGGCCGCCTTATTTCCTTTTTACTTGCACCTGGCAAGGCGGAGTTCATAGTTCAAGAACTCGCAGGTCAAAGAGAAACAGCGTAGTGGGCTGCAATCTATGGCAGCAAAGGCCTGCGACTGGAGGGGGGGTGCTTTTTCTTTCTTCTCCTCCTCCTTCCCCACCCCCTTTTTAAAAAAAGATTTTCTTTATTTATTCATGAGAGAAGGAGAGGGAGGCAGAGGGAGAGAAGCAGGCTCCCCTCGGAACAGGGAGCCGGAGGGGGGACCCCATCCCAGGACCCTGGGATCATGACCCTAGTCGAAGCCCGACACTTAACCAAAGGAGCCACTCAGGCGCCCTTCCCCTTTCTTTTTATTTATTTGTTTATTTTTAGTAACAACAGCCAGTTTTATTGTCGAACATTTACATCTCTAAAAATAAATGCTGAGATGATCTAGGAAGCCAGCTTGAAATGAGTCGCTTAAAGATAAAACAATATTATTGTGCAAGGTTAGGATTCCGATTAGATTCTTAATTAGATTCTGATTAGATTCAGTTAAATTTATGCACAGTAAAATTAAAAATTAATACTGAGGGGTGCCTGGGTGGCTCAGTCAGTTCAGCGCCCGACTATTGGTTTTGGCACAGGTCAGGATCTCAGGATCCTGAGATCCGGTCCCTAACTGGCTCAGCATGAGTCTACTTAAGATTCTCTCCCTCTCGCTCCCCGTCTACTCCTATGTCCCCCCCACCCCCACTGGCTGACATGTGCATGCATGCATGCACTCTCCTCTCTCTCTCTCAAATAAATAAATAAAATCTTAAAAAAATCAAAATTGAGAGGCTAGCCAGTCTAGGAACAGAAATAGAGTACTACATCTTCCAAACAAGTAGAAGGGAACAAATAAAAAAAACTAAAACAAAAGCTTAATCCAAAAAAAAGGCAAGAAAGGAGAAAAAAATGGTTGTACAAAGTTTAAGATGGTAGAAAAAACCCAAATTCATTCATTCAACAATTATACTATGTAGTGCCTACTAAAAGCCACATACTGTTTTAGGAACCAGGGATACAGCAGTAAACAAAACATAGAAAATACCTGCATTCATGAAGCTTCTGTCCTAGTCGGGGGAAACGTAATGAATCAGATGAATGAATAAATCATGTGGCTTGTCTTATGATGATAAGCATGAGACAAATACATGCAATTGATATGTTAAGGATGGAAAAAACTTGGAAAATGGCCTCACTGAGAAAATAGTATTCAAAAAAAATATATGAGGGGGGTAAAGAATCGAACCACGTGGATGTGAAGGGAAAAGCATTTCAGACAAAGGAAGTGCAAACATCCTGGGGCTGGCATGTGCTTGAGGAGGTTGCATAGAGCAGAGGGAAGAGTAGAAGGAGGTGAGATCAGAGGTGAAACAAGACCAGATCATATAGGACATTTGCTCTAAGTGAAATGGGTCACTCTAGATGCTGCAACATGAACAGACCACAGGAAGAAAAAGCAGACACTAGGTGCGTGGCTCCTGCGTAATCCAGGTGAGAGGCCATGCAGCTCAGACAGGTGAGGTGGTGGGAAGGGCGGGGGAGTCTGGAAAGATTGCTAAGGAGTCCACAGGATTTGCTGACAGGTTACATGTGTGGTGTGAAAGAGATGAGTCAGGATGGCGTTTATTATGCACTTGGAACCGTGACAAAGGAAATGAAATTTATAATTGCAATTAATCCTAAATCTGAGACATAGATTCTTCTTCTCCCCAAGTGAGCTGGAGGAGCCGGAGTTCCTGGCTGGTCCTTGGCCAGTGCATCACCCCGCAATGCTCTATCTTCCCTCCATTCATAGAAACCTCCCTGGTTGCCAGAGCCAGGTTCCCTGCTCCCTTCGGCTTTGATCAAACCGAGATGCCCCAGCCCAAAGTGAGTGCGTGTGTTTGGCAGCACTGCCCGCACTATGTAAAAAAGTGAATGTTACTTAAGAAAAGCCAAGCGTGATCCCTTGGATTTAAGCTTCTCTCACAGAAAATCGTCATGTCACCTTGGAAGAGGGGAAACTGGTGGAGACAGCAGATGATTTTACTTGGTGTCACCTTAGAAATGAGCAGCCCCCTCCTTCACAGATCAATGAACATTTATGATGGAGGGAAAATCAGTAGATGGCACATATCTCATATTTAGGATTAATTGCAATTATTAATTTAATTTACTTGTCACAGTTCCAAGTGTGTCATAAGTGCATTGCGAATACTAGCTGCTATTACCAAACAAGTACAATCTTTTTTTAAAGATTTATTTATTTATTTATTTATTTGGGGGTGGGGAGGGGCAGAGGGAGAGGGAGAGAGAGTCCCAAGTGGACTCCGCACTCAGCGCAGAGCCCAATGTGGGGCTCCATCTCACGAGCCTGAGATCATGACCTAAACTGAAACCAAGAATCGGACGCTTAACTGATGGAGCCACCCAGGTGGCCCCCAAACAAGTACAATCTTTAACAAATTTTTTTTGAGAAGCAATGACCTTGGTAAAAGTTAGCATTTGTTTACAAATTGTTTTCTCCTCCACCAAAGAGA